TGCTGCAATAGACAATTGTTTATCAGTTGCAGAAGAATATGATATCCAAGTCTTACTCGTTTCCCTGACATCCTATTTTCAGAAACATAATTAGCAGTTTCCCAAATGTACTCAATTGTTTGGATTTGACAGGTGAACATTCATACTGACACCTTAAATGAATCGGGTTTTGTGGAGCACACAATCGATGCATTTCGAGGGAGAACAATACATACTTACCACAGGTTCGTCAGCATCTCATCTCTTCATGCACCTCTCAATTTTATTTCTTGTCATTGTCTTAAATTACTTGAGCTAATTCCCCTTACGCTATCTAGTTGTGAGATTCAATTTGCTGATATAACTAATCATGTAACAACAATATCAAAGGAAGGTCACTGCCTATGTTTGGAGCATATATTGAAGTTCTATTTTTGTTTGTTGAATCCTTCTGGACAGCGAAGGTGCTGGGGGTGGACATGCGCCTGATATCATCAGAGTTTGTGGCGTAAAAAATGTACTCCCGTCATCAACCAACCCAACGCGGCCATATACGAAAAATACCATAGATGAACATCTTGACATGCTGGTATGAGGACTTAATAAGAGTATACTATATACGATTGATGGTGAATTACTTTACGTTTGTCTTGCTAATATCCTCATATGCAAACACAAGCAGATGGTGTGCCATCACCTTGACAAGAACATCCCAGAAGATGTAGCTTTTGCTGAATCAAGGATAAGAGCTGAAACAATAGCAGCAGAAGACATATTGCATGATATGGGTGCAATCAGCATTATCTCCTCCGACTCACAAGCAATGGGTCGCATTGGAGAGGTTCAAGCCTTTAAATCATAAACATGTTTTAAATCAATACTTGAAATTCTAGATTCTGTCTAGCTGAAAACTTGCAAACTTAATAATGGGAGAATTCTTCACTCCTCTGGTTTATATTATTCGAATTATTTAACCGTGGTCGTATAGTCGATCTCCTCTATGCAAAGGCTGCTTACTTTGTGGCATGTTCTCTTGTAAGCTCCTACTATTTGCTTAAAGAAAACTATGATATCCATTTCTTTTTGCAGGTAATAAGCAGAACTTGGCAGACTGCCGACAAGATGAAGGCTCAGAGGGGAGTCATTGATCCTAACACGGCTGATGATGATAACTTGAGGATAAAGAGATACATTGCAAAGTACACTATAAATCCAGCTATAGCCAATGGGTTTGCTGACTTAATTGGCTCGGTTGAGGTATGATTAATCTTCAACACACACTATTTATGGATGAGAGCGATAGGTTTTGGTAATTTTGTAGAGATTAGGAATCATGTAAAACCCTAATTTGGTTGAATAGTGGAAGAAGCCCTTGTACTAGCTACTTAACATCAGTGTTTTTGTTTACTCAACTGAAAAACGCACTGCTCTGCAGGAGAAGAAGCTGGCCGATCTCGTTTTGTGGAAACCGGCTTTCTTCGGAGCAAAACCAGAAATAATAATCAAAGGAGGCAACATAGCATGGGCTAATATGGGGGATGCAAATGCCAGCATACCCACTCCTGAGCCGGTAATCATCACCGACTACTATTTTCTAGACATGTTATATCAAAGTTCACCAGCATTCCAAACAATCTTTGCTTTTTATTGTTTGACGCTTAGGTCATATCAAGACCTATGTTTGGAGCTTTTGGAAATGCCGGAAGTGAAAACTCTGTTGCATTTGTCAGCAAGGCACGGAATCTCTTCTCACACTACTACATCTCTCCCTTTCTTTCTCCAAGTGATTCAATTAACACAAGTGTTAGTTTCTTTGTTCTTTACAAAACCCAGGCTGCCTTGAGAAACGGGGTTAAAGAAGTATATGGACTCAAGAAGAAGGTTGTAGCAGTATCGAACGTGAGGGGGCTCACGAAACTCGACATGAAGCTGAATGATGCGCTTCCGAACATCACCGTGGACCCAGAGACATATGTTGTCACAGCAGACGGTGAGATACTTGCGTGTGCACCAGCCACTTCGGTCCCTCTCTCCCGGAACTATTTCCTCTTTTAAGGTTGTTGAAATTTTCAGTTACTTTGCGCATTACACGCATTGCTAGTAAAATGAGTCACGTAAAGCACTATAGCAAGCATACGCATAGGTGGTGATTTGAAATATTATTATTAGCTTCTCTGAACATTTTTTTTTTTTAAATAAGAAAAAGGGAGAAAAAAGCAAATATAAATTGTTTTTGTAATAAGCTTATTACTAAAGTGGTTGCCATGTAAAGTATGAGGAACATGGATCACATCTTTGCTCGTGATTACTTGGTGGGTTTTTGCATTTTTAGAAAATAAAGTCCCAAATTATTAATAAAGACTAGGTGATGACCTGTGTATACACGTGAATTTATATTTTTTAGCTTGTGATTAATATATTATTTTATTTAAATATAATTTATGTAAATGTATACATTAACATGTACACTTATTCATTTAAAATTTTAAATATTTTTTTTTTACTTTTTTATAATTTTGTTATCATACTTAAATTTTCTTCTAATTTTTTTTGTGATAAACTTATAAAAAATGTTAAATTTTTTATCCTGCAAGAGATGTGGCTGCAGATTAGTTGGATTTATGTTCAAGCTGTTTTATTGTCCATTATGGTTGTCTTTCATATAGTCCTACCTTTCATATAGTCTTACCATTGTCGAAAACCCTTTTCTTAGCATGTTCTCTTGCGGACTTGTTTGTCTCTGGGATACCATTTCTCCAGAAATTCAGGACTCCGGTCCAGCAGTTCCCTATGGCCCTCTCAGCCTCAGTTTTCTTTGGGGATAACGCGCGTCCCAAGCATGCTCCCTTACGGACTTGCTCGCCCTCCGAAACACTTTTCCTTTGGGATCATGAGATTCCGGCCTCGCAGACCTCCAGGTTTTCCTCGCCAGTCCTCAGTGGGCCGTGTGGCAAAACAACATGCTCCTTCCAAGGGCAAAACTTTAAAATCGCGTTTTCCATTAAAACCGCACTACCTCAAAAATCACATTTTTTCATCAGAAATGTTTGTTAATTAATAAATATATTTTACATTAAATTAAAATTAAAATAATGAATGAAAATATGGTTAGAAATGAAAAATATATATATATATATATATACCTAATATATAAGATACATATCTTCCTTTCTTAATTTCTTCTACTTATTCAATTAACACAAAAGTTAGTTTCTTTGTTCTTACCTAACCCAGGCTGCCTTGAGAAACGGGGTTAAAGAAGTATATGGACTCAAGAAGAAGGTTGTAGCAGTATCGAACGTGAGGGGGCTCACGAAACTAACTTTTGACTATACAGAGTTATTATTTTCCATTGTTCACAATGATAATTTGATATCTAATTTTCTGTTTAGAACTACATACACTTCTTATCCAGTTATATCTTTATTAATAATCTGGGAGTTTGATTTCTAAAAATGCAAAAACCAACCAAGTAATCACGCAAAGATGTGATACATGTTCCTCATACTTTTTATATTTGCTTTTTTCTCCCTTTTCTTTAAAAAAATAAAATAAAATGTTCAGAGAAGCTAATAATAATATTTCAAATCACCACCTATGCGCATGCTTGCTATAGTGCTTTACGTGTCTCATTTTACTTAGCAATGCGTATAATGCGCAAAGCAACTGAAAGTTTCAACAACCTTAAAAGAGGAAATAGTTCCGGGAGAGAGGGACCGAAGTGGCTGGTGCACACGCAAGTATCTCACCGTCTGCTGTGACAACATATGTCTCTGGGTCCACGGTGATGTTCGGAAGCGCATCATTCAGCTTCATGTCGAGTTTCGTGAGCCCCCTCACGTTCGATACTGCTACAACCTTCTTCTTGAGTCCATATACTTCTTTAACCCCGTTTCTCAAGGCAGCCTGGGTTAGGTAAGAACAAAGAAACTAACTTTTGTGTTAATTGAATAAGTAGAAGAAATTAAGAAAGGAAGATATGTATCTTATATATTAGGTATATATATATATATATATATATTTTTCATTTCTAACCATATTTTCATTCATTATTTTAATTTTAATTTAATGTAAAATATATTTATTAATTAACAAACATTTCTGATGAAAAAATGTGATTTTTGAGGTAGTGCGGTTTTAATGGAAAACGCGATTTTAAAGTTTTGCCTTTGGAAGGAGCATGTTGTTTTGCCACACGGCCCACTGAGGACTGGCGAGGAAAACCTGGAGGTCTGCGAGGCCGGAATCTCATGATCCCAAAGGAAAAGTGTTTCGGAGGGCGAGCAAGTCCGTAAGGGAGCATGCTTGGGACGCGCGTTATCCCCAAAGAAAACTGAGGCTGAGAGGGCCATAGGGAACTGCTGGACCGGAGTCCTGAATTTCCGGAGAAATGGTATCCCAGAGACAAACAAGTCCGCAAGAGAACATGCTAAGAAAAGAGTTTTCGACAATGGTAGGACTATATGAAAAGTAGGACTATATGAAAGACAACCATAATGGACAATAAAACAGCTTGAACATAAATCCAACTAATCTGCAGCCACATCTCTTGCAGGATAAAAAATTTAACATTTTTTATAAGTTTATCACAAAAAAAATTAGAAGAAAATTTAAGTATGATAACAAAATTATAAAAAAGTAAAAAAAAAATATTTAAAATTTTAAATGAATAAGTGTACATGTTAATGTATACATTTACATAAATTATATTTAAATAAAATAATATATTAATCACAAGCTAAAAAATATAAATTCACGTGTATACACAGGTCATCACCTAGTCTTTATTAATAATTTGGGACTTTATTTTCTAAAAATGCAAAAACCCACCAAGTAATCACGAGCAAAGATGTGATCCATGTTCCTCATACTTTACATGGCAACCACTTTAGTAATAAGCTTATTACAAAAACAATTTATATTTGCTTTTTTCTCCCTTTTTCTTATTTAAAAAAAAAAAATGTTCAGAGAAGCTAATAATAATATTTCAAATCACCACCTATGCGTATGCTTGCTATAGTGCTTTACGTGACTCATTTTACTAGCAATGCGTGTAATGCGCAAAGTAACTGAAAATTTCAACAACCTTAAAAGAGGAAATAGTTCCGGGAGAGAGGGACCGAAGTGGCTGGTGCACACGCAAGTATCTCACCGTCTGCTGTGACAACATATGTCTCTGGGTCCACGGTGATGTTCGGAAGCGCATCATTCAGCTTCATGTCGAGTTTCGTGAGCCCCCTCACGTTCGATACTGCTACAACCTTCTTCTTGAGTCCATATACTTCTTTAACCCCGTTTCTCAAGGCAGCCTGGGTTTTGTAAAGAACAAAGAAACTAACACTTGTGTTAATTGAATCACTTGGAGAAAGAAAGGGAGAGATGTAGTAGTGTGAGAAGAGATTCCGTGCCTTGCTGACAAATGCAACAGAGTTTTCACTTCCGGCATTTCCAAAAGCTCCAAACATAGGTCTTGATATGACCTAAGCGTCAAACAATAAAAAGCAAAGATTGTTTGGAATGCTGGTGAACTTTGATATAACATGTCTAGAAAATAGTAGTCGGTGATGATTACCGGCTCAGGAGTGGGTATGCTGGCATTTGCATCCCCCATATTAGCCCATGCTCCTTTGATTATCATTTCTGGTTTTGCTCTATAAAGAATTAATTTTATTTGTTATAAATTACATATGTAAATGAATTTTATAAAAAAAAAATTGAAGAAGTAGAGTTCAGTAGATAGAAGTCTACTAAGTAGATTTCTTTGGGAAGTCTGCGACTAATAAAGTAAGTATCTTATAAAATATAAAAATTGATTCTATCATACCTATAAAATATAAACATGTAAAACTGATACAGAAATAAGAACACTTACTAACACAAGCTCAGAACCAAGAAAATCTTAAATATTCGTGATATATTTGATAAAAGTGAGTTTAAACAAAAATATGAAACAATAGTAGACTTTTCGGACAACTAATGAAGTCTACTATAGTATACTTCGTCAAGATAAGTAAGTATACTCCAAAATATATATTTCAGACAGCTCAGTTTTGCAATTGCCAAAAGATTAGTAGAAAAAGTAAACTTCTTCGAATCTACTTTTGGAGTAGACTTCAGATAGAACATTTTTGCAATTGACCAACCTTTGACTTTTTTTGGAGTAGGCTTCTCTAAAAAGTTTACTCCAAAACTAGACATTTTTACAATTTACCAATCTTTGACTTTTTTGAAGTAGGCTTCTCCAAAAAATTTACTCCAAAAGTAGACTTCAAACAGATCAGTTTTGATATTGACCAAGTTTGACTTTTGGAGGAGACTTCTTGGACTTCTTTCGCCATCTACTATGGGTTGACCAAACATTGAATTGATTAAATAGTAGACTTCATCTGAAGTCAAAAGAAGTCTACTTTTTAATTCGACTTTTTGTCAAAAAAAACAAGCCGAGTCGATGGCAAAAGAAGTGTACTCCCAAAAGTCAAAAAGTCAAAGATTGATTAATTGCAAAACTGACATGTCTGAAGTCTATTTTTTGGAGTAGACTTCTTAGAGAAGTCTACTAAAAAAAAATCAAGTCTGGTCAATTGCAAAAGTGATCTGCCTCTAAAGAAGTTTGCTTCTGAATCTGCGCCAATTTTTTTTGTTCTCGAATGAAATGGAGCAGACTTCATTCGAATCAATCGAAGTCTACATTCAGAAATTGGTTCACGAGGTCAATTGCAAAACTAACCATGTGTGTTAACAAGCAGACTTCACATTGGTCAGATAAAGTCTACTTTCATGAACCAGATATGGACACAACACGGAAATCGACTGAAAATTTGACGTATCACTTGTCTTTAACTTCTTTTCTAGCCGAGAACTTTGATTCTAAGCACCATCAAAAAGGTCCAATCGCAATAAATGACCGTATCACCGGATATAGCAATATCTAAGAACTTCAACTTATCAATAGCTAAATTATTAAGTTTTTGGAAAGAAAATACAGAGAAAATGGAAGAATATAAGCTTATGAGTGAGATAACGAGCCATTCAAGCTCAGAAATAGATTTTTAGTGCAATTAAAGCTTCAAATTAATTGAAAATGGTGATTTGGTGAATTGATGATGGTGGTAGATTATTTGGACGATTAGATTTCCAAAAATAAAAGAAATTAATTTGAATTAATGACAATTTTGTGAATAATTGGAACTAAGAAGGATTGGTTGGAGAGAAAATGGCTAATATTACAAATGAGAATTTTGTAGATTACATTTGCATTTGATCTCAATTTTAGAGTCATATGTTTTGCATATATCCCTTGTTTAGTTAGTATGTTATAAATTTACATCTTCATCTATAAATGATTTTGATATTAAAATGAGTAATATATATATATATATATATATTTTTTTTTTTTTTTATCTAACCATATTTTTAATCATTATCTTAAATTTAATTTAGAGTAAAATATATTTATTAATTAACAAACACTTCTGATGAAAAAATGATTTTTGAGGTAGTGCGGTTTTAAAGGAAAACACGATTTTAAAGTTTTGGGGAAAAATCATGATTTTGCTGTTTTAAAAAAAATATATACGATTTTGCAATTTTTGCGAGAAAAAATTGGTTTTGATAAAAAATGCTAGTTCATAATTTTTGGTGGAAAAATGTGATTTTGCGATTTTTGTGGAAAAACGTAATTTCATGATCTTGGCGGGAAAACATGATTTTGAGATTTTGGGATTTGTGCGGGAACTAGATTTTGTGTTTTTGACGGGAAAATGTGATTTTGCGATTTTAGTGAAAAAACGTAATTTCCTGATCTTGGTGGGAAAACATGATTTTGAGATTTTGAGGTTTTGGCGGAAAACTAAATTTTGTGTTTTTGGCGGGAAAACACGATTTCACAGTTTTGACGGGAAAACGTGGTTTCACAGTTTTGCTAGAAAACCTTGATTTTTGCGGTTTTGGTAAATAGCCATGATTTCACGGTTTCAACGAAAAAACATGGTCTTGGCGGGAAAATACAATTTTTCGATTTTAGCAGAAAAATACGATTGTGCAGTTTTGGAGAAAATTGAAATTTTTTTAGTTTTAACGAGAAAAATTGGAATTCTCTTTCAGCTATTATAAGTCCCATATGACTATTTCACATCATTAGTCTGTTTTCCCCCATTTTTGGCTATTAGGCAAGATTCGTATCATCATTTGTGATCTCTTCTATGGAATCAGAAACAAGTAATAGACATTTCTCCTTGAACTATTATGAGTTCCACATGACTATTTTAAGCCTAGTTACTCAATTTTGCTTCTATGATTCATCAGAAATGTCTTTTACCCATTTCCCCCTATTAGACCTGTTTTGGATCTTCATTTGGGTTGTCTTCTAGATAATGAGAAACAAATAATAAGCGCTTCTCCTTGAACTATTATGAGTCCCACATGACTATTTCAAGCCTAGTTAAACTATTATCTTTGTGTTATTCATGAGAAGTCTGTTTTCCCCATTTTAGGCTATTAAACCACTTTCAGATCTTTCTTTGTGTTCTTTTCTACGGAATGAGAAACAAGTAATAGACGCTTCTCCATAAATTATTATGAGTCCCACATGAATATTTCTAGTTTATTTACTCCATTTTCTTTGTATGATTCATTAGAAGTTTTTTTTACCAATTTGAGGTATTTGAAGAGTTTTTCAGATCTTCTTTTGGGATCTCTTCTATGGAATGAGAAACAAATAATAGACGCTTCTCTTTGAACTAGTTTTAGTCCCACATGACTACTTTAAAGCCTATGTACTCCATATTCTTTGTAAGATTTATTAGAAGTCTGTTTTCCCCATCTTGGGCTATTAGACCAGTTTTAGATTTTCATTTTGGTTCTCTTCTATGGAATGAGAAGCAAGTCATCAACGCTTCTCCATAAACTGTTATGAGTCCCACATAACTATTTCTAGTCTAGTTAGTCCATTTTCTTTGTATGATTCATCAATAGTCTGTTTTACCCATTTTCGGCTAATAAACAAGTTTCAGATCTTCATTGGTGATCTCCTCTATGGAATGAGATACAAGTAAATAGACGCTTTTCCCTGAACTATTTTGTGTCACACATCACTATTTCAAGTCTATGTACTCCATTTTCTTTGCATGATTCATTAGAAGTCTGTTTTACTCATTTTCGTCTATTAGACTAATTTTTGATCTTCATTTGGGATCTCTTCATTGGAATGAGATAGAAGTGAAACTATTATGAGTCTCACATGACTATTTCAAGCCTAGTTACTGCATTTTATTTGTTTGATTCATCACTGTTTTTCCCATTTTTTGCTCTTTGACGAGTTTTAGATCTTCCTTTGGGATCTCTTCTACGGAATGTGAAATAAGTAATTAATGCTTATCCTTGTACTATATGAGTTCCACATGACTATTTCAAGCCTATTTACTCCATTTTCTCTGTATGATTCATCAAAAGTCTGTTTTCCACTTTTTCGGCTATTAGACCAGTTTTGGATCTTTATTTAGGTTATCTTCTACGAAATGAGAAACAAGTAATCGAAGCTTCTACTTAAACTATTATGAGTCCCACATGAATATTTCTAGGCTAGTTAGTCCATTTTCTTTGTATAATTCATCAGCAGTCTGTTTTACCCATTTTTGGCAATTAAACGAGTTTCAGATCTTCCATTTTCGGCTTTTAGACCAGATCGGATCTTCATATGGAAGCTCTTCTAAGGAATGAAAATTAGTAATAGACTCTTCCCCTTGTACAATTATGAGTCCCACTTGACTATTTCAAGCCTAGTTACTCTATTGTGTTTGTTTGATTTATCAGAAGTCCGTATTCCGCATTTTTGGCTACTAGACCAATTTTGGATCTTCTTTTGGGATTTCTTCTACGGAAAGAGAGACGAATAATAGATGCTCCTACTTGTACAATTATGAGTCCCAAATGCCTACTTCAATCCAAGTTACTTCATTTTTTTGTATGATTCATGAGAACTATGCTTTACCCATTTTCAGCTATTAGACTAGTTTTGGATCTTCATTTGGGATCTCCTCTACGAAATGAGATATAAGTAGTAGCCGCTTCTCCTAGAACTATTATGAGTCCCACATGACTATTTCAAGCCTAGTTATTCCATTTTCTTTGTATGCTTCATCAAAAGTCTGCTCTACCCATTTTTGGGTATTGGACGAGTTTCAGATCTTCATTTATGATCTCTTCTACGGACTGAGAAACAAGTAATAGATGCTTCCCCTTGTACTATTATGAGTCCCAAATGTATATCTTAGGCCTAGTTACTCCATTTTATTTGTATGATTCATTAGAAGTCTATTGTACTCATATTCGGCTATTAGACTAATTTTGGATCTTCATTTGGGATCTCCTCTACGGAATGAGTCCGAAGTAACATGCGCTTCTCCCTGAACTATTATGAGTCCCACTTGACAATTTCAAGCCTAGTTACTCTATTTATTTGTATGATTCATCATTGTTTTACCCATTTTCTGCTATTTGACAAGTTTCAGATCTTCATTTGATATCTCTTCTACTGAATGAGAAATAAGTAATGAACTCTTATCCTTGTACTATTATGAGTCCTACATGACTATTTCAAGCCTAGTTACACTATTTTCTTTGATGGTTTCATCATTGTTTTACCCATTTTCGGGTATTTGACGAGTTTCAGATCTTCATTTGTGATCTCTTATTTAAAATAAAAAATAAGTAATAGACGCTTATCCTTGTAATATTATGAGTCCTACATGACTATTTCAAGTCTAGTTACTCCATTTTGTTTGTATAATTCATCAGAAGTCTGTTGTTCCTATTTTCTGCTATTAGACCAGTTTCTGATCTACATTTGGGTTATTCTACGGAATGAGAAATAGGAAATTGACATTTCACCTTGTATAATTATGTGTCCCACATGATTATTTCAAGCCTAGTGACTCCATTTTTTTTGTATGACTCATCAAGACTGTTTTACCCATTTTCAGAAATTAGATGAGTTTCTGATCTTCATTTGGGATCTCTTCCACGAAATGATAAACAAATAATAGACACTTCTCCTTGTACTATTATGAGTCCCATATGATTATTGTAAGCCTAGTTACTCGATTTTTTTTTTATGATTCATCAGAAGTCTGTTTTACCCATTTTTGGCTAGTAGACCAGTTTTGGATCTTCATTTTGGTTCTTTTCTATGGAATAAAAAACAAGTAATCGGCGCTTCTCCTTGTACTATTATGAGTCTCACATGACTATTTTAAGTCTAGTTACTCTATTTTTTGTATCTGTTTTACCAATTAATCTTTAGGTTTGAGATTCAGAAATCTTCATGTAGCAAATTCCTCCATCCAAAATACGCACATGTAATGACCTCATAAAAAAAATATTGAGATGTTAATTTCCTGAGCTTTTAGTTTACAAGTATATAATTTGCGATTTATTATGTTTAGAGACTGAATGAATTTAATCAAAGAGATTATACCTCATCACTACTCCTCATTTTTAAAATCGTTGAAATGTTGAACCTATAATTTTTGTAAAGAAACGATTATCATTAAATAATCGGACCCAAACACCTTGCGATGAAGAACATTCAAAGTATTGTTTCAGGCACCAAAACTGCAAATATTAATCGCAGGCAATCTGCTTACCTAGATTTCTTAGTGAAGTTCCTCGCCAATGTTTGCAGTAATCCTTAGCTCTCGGATTTCTTCACTCAGCACACTGATTCAAATATCAGATCCCGTAATAATCTTGGTGAGTCGGAATCATAAAAGGAAAAACGGAAGAACGAGACGAAGAACTGAGTTTGTTGAATCGCATTTTCGTGGTGAAGGAAAGAGATATGATGTTTCTAATTCCGGACAAGATAAAAAAAAATCTTTTTCTGTCTAAATGCAAACAATATTAAATATGAGCCACAATATGAAGAAGAATATGTTGGGAACCAAATTCGTAAAATTATCAACTTCAACGATTCATTAAGCCTGCCCAAATTCTAATTTTTTTATAAAATGTGCGGATCTGAAATCTAGTTAAGAATTATAAAATAGTCCGGTCATAGCCTGGGATAAATCCTAGTTATACTCAAAGAGAGGACGTTGAGTTTCACTGTATTCTCTTCATGTCTTTTTCGTATCCAATATCATTAGTCCTCTATTCTAACATTTCCGATCGTTTGCTTTCATCAATCATATGTAATTGCATCATTTCTCTATTTCCAATCGAGTTACATTCTTTTTTTTTTAATTAAATCCAAAATAATTTCTGCATTTCATGGGCGTTTTATAATTACAAATATGTTTATAATTACCGTCAAACATAAGCCAAAAAAAAAAAAAAAAAAAAAAAAATCCTCTCATATATTTCTTTTTAATGAAAAAAATCAAATCCCTATTTAATCAAATCCCAGTCGTCACGGACTCTATTTTTTCCACAAACAAAATTACTTAGTTTTACTTTACTCAATGGAATGTTCAACGAAAATCCCAATAAGTACTTTTCTACGTCTGATTTTGTAACTCCATAAAGTAAACAGCCAAAACTTATTCGAACCCATTGACGGGTTAGACCTTCATTATCAAGAAGACTACTCCAAGTCAATCTCTGAGAGAAACTGAAGACTACAAAAGAGCAATAACATAGCTTTATCTAACACCAAGAGACAGAGAAAGAGAGAGAATGAGAATGGATTTCGCAAAGAAAAATCCTTACGATCTTCATTTTCTTTTGATCATATCCATAGTTTTGAGCTGTTCTATTACAGCTTCTGCAACTATTTCAGAAGCAAAAGCTCTTCTGAAATGGAAATCAACTTTCACTAACCAGACAAGCTCATCCAAGCTGTCTTCATGGGTCAACAACACAAACACCAATACAAGCTTCTGCACTAGATGGTACGGCGTTTCCTGCGACCCACGAGGGAGCATCATACGTTTAAACCTCACTGACACTGCCATTGAAGGTACTTTCCAAGATTTCCCTTTTTCTTCCCTACCAAACCTCGCTTACGTTGATCTTAGTATGAACCGTTTCTCCGGAACCATACCTCCCCAATTCGGAAATCTCTCTAAACTCATTTACGTTGACCTCTCCATAAACCACTTAACCGGAGAAATCCCACCTGAGCTTGGCAATTTACGAAACCTCGAAACTCTCCATCTAGTCGAAAACAAGTTAAACGGGTTGATTCCACCAGAGATCGGTCTCTTAACTTCGGTTCAAGAAATCGCTTTGTATAGCAATTCGTTGTCTGGACCAATACCCTATTCCATTGGAAATCTAACCAGCTTGGTTTACTTATACCTTCACATCAACTCTCTCTCTGGTCCACTTCCTTCCGAGATTGGAAACTTAACCAACCTTTCTGAGCTATGCCTTGATAGAAATAATCTGACCAGTAAAATCCCTCCTACTTTCAGAAAGTTGAAGAAATTAACTCTTCTCAACATGTTTAAAAACAAACTCTCCGGCGAAATCCCTTATGAGATTGGTGATCTTACCAATCTATATAACCTTAGCCTTCATACAAATAACCTTACCGGTTTGATTCCTTCTTCCCTAGGAAATCTCAAGAACTTGACCACTCTTCATCTTTACCTGAATCATCTAACTGGTGTCATTCCCCCCGAACTAGGCGACATGGAATCCATGAATGACTTAGAGTTAAGCCAGAACAAGCTTACAGGTTCTGTTCCTGATTCCTTTGGTAACTTTACCAAGCTGCAGTTTTTGTTCCTCCGTGAGAACGAGCTCTCTGGTCCGATCCCACCAGGATTGGCAAACTCTTCGGAGCTAACTGTCTTGCAACTCGACACAAACAACTTAACCGGTTTCTTGCCTGAAACCATTTGCAGAGGTGGCAAACTTGAGAACCTCACATTAGATGATAATCAGCTCCATGGCCCTATCCCGAAGAGCTTGAGAGACTGCAAGAGCTTGATCAGAGCAAGATTCAAAGGGAACGGATTCATTGGAGATATCTCTGAAGCTTTTGGGGTTTACCCTAATCTAGATTTCATTGATCTCAGTCGCAACAAATTCCACGGTGAGATTTCAAGCAACTGGGAGAAGAGTCCAAAGCTAGGTGCCTTGATCATGTCGAACAATAACATCACCGGTACTATCCCATCAGAGATTTGGAGCATGACACAACTAGTTGAGCTGGATCTATCTACCAACAACCTCACTGGAGAACTTCCAGAAGCAATCAGGAATCTCACGAGTTTGTCGAAGCTGAAACTGAATGAGAATCAGTTATCTGGACGAATTCCTGAAGGAATAAGATTCTTAACTAATCTTGAGTCTCTTGACTTATCCTCAAACAGATTCAGCTCCAAGATCCCACAAACCTTTGACTCCTTTTATAAGCTTTACTACATGAACCTGAGCAGGAACAACTTGGAGGAACGCATTCCCATGGGACTAACAAAGCTGACTCAGTTATCTAGCCTTGATCTCAGCCACAACCAGCTCGAAGGAGAAATCCCATCACAGCTTAGCTCCCTGCAAAGCCTTGATAAGCTCGACCTCTCACACAACAATCTGTCCGGTCAAATTCCAACAAGTTTCGAGGACATGAAAGCGCTGAGTTACATCGATATATCAAACAATAACCTGGAGGGTCCACTTCCAGATAACTCGGCGTTTCGAAACGCAACCGCAGATGCATTGAAAGGAAACAGAGGCTTATGCAGTAATACAACTAAACAGAAGCTCAAATCATGCCCTTTCACATCCTCTGTGAGCAAGAAACCGAAAAAGAAGGACAACAGTCTTGTGTGGATATTAGTATCCATCCTAGGAGCACTTGTGATTCTCTCTACATGCGCAGGGACATTTACTTACTGCCTTCGGAAACGAAACCCACGCAACGAAAGCAACTCAGATTCTGAAATTGGAGAGAGTTTGTCAATCTTTAGCTACGATGGCAAAGTCAAATACCAACAAATCATCAAATCAACCAAAGAATTCGATCCAAGATACCTAATTGGAGCCGGAGGATACGGCAAAGTCTACAAAGCAAAGCTCTCATTAGGTACAATCGTGGCCGTGAAAAAGCTACACGATACCACAGACGAAGAGATATCAAAGCCGGAGGTGAAACAAGAGTTCATGAACGAAGTAAGAGCTCTAACGGAGATTCGCCACCGGAACGTGGTGAAGCTATTCGGCTTCTGCTCCTTCCGCCGCCACACTTTCCTAATCTACGAGTACATGGAAAAGGGAAGCTTAAGGAAAGTGTTAGCTAACGACTACGAAGCTAAACGACTGGATTGGGTTAAGAGGATCAACATCGTGAAAGGTGTGGCTTACGCTTTGTCGTATATGCACCATGACCGATCAACGCCGATCGTTCACCGTGATATCAGCAGCGGAAACATCCTTCTCGATAACGATTACGAAGCTAAGATCTCCGATTTCGGTACAGCGAAGCTCTTGAAGACGGATTCCTCTAATTGGTCCGCTGTTGCTGGAACCTATGGCTACATTGCTCCAGGTAATTTAAAATTCCCTTTGATTCAGAAAAAAAATAATTGAGATCCCTAGATTTCGAATTTGAGATTTTTATTTTCTCTCGCAGAGTTAGCTTACGCGATGAAAGTGACGGAGAAATGTGATGTGTATAGCTTTGGGGTTTTGATGCTTGAAGTGATAAAGGGGAATCATCCGGGAGATTTGGTTTCGAGTTTGTCTCCGGGGAAAAGTCTGTCGCTGAGAAGCGTTTCTGATGAACGTTTGAGGGAACCAGAGGCGGAGATTAGAGAGAAGCTGTTGAGGATGGTGAAAGTGGCGGTGTTGTGCTTACAAGCGGATCCGAACTCTCGGCCAACAATGTTGTCAATCTCCAGGGTGTTAATCTGAAATGGCCCTTCCTACACCAAATAAATCCAATATGCCTCTATTATAAGATTTCTTTTTTTTTTGATTTTTATTTAAAACCAAAATGCGTGAAATGACGATGGAGGGTATCCGAAATCCTCTAAATTACAGACAATAACCAAATAATATCTATTAGATTTTGCCCAACATAAATCAAAATCGGCCTAAACCTAAATCTAAATCTAGCCTAAACCCAAACCAAAAACAATTTCCCTTTCCCTGATTTTTCGATCAAACTGCCTCCTTTCCAACCTTCATCTTCTCTGATTCAGAAACCGCTAACTCTCATTTTCATATTCTCTGATAAACCACTAATTTCCACCAATTTCCACTTATCAATCTCATGGCGCGTACGAAATGGCTTCGGAGAAGAACACCGCCTTCGCCGGATCATACATCATCGCCGCCGCCACCGTCAAGTTCAAATCCTCCGGTGGAGAAGCAAACAGAGGCGGAGAAGCCTCCTGCGGCAACGCGAGGAAAAGAGAAGAAGTCGAAGAAGAAATCGAAATCAACAGAAGAAACTTCTAGTGCTCCGCCTCCGCCAGGTCCGATGACCGAAGAAGAAGAAAAAAATCCCCTGCCGTCGAGTTCAAATCCGCCGGCGAAGAAGAAAAGAAAGAGAGAGAAGCGTCTGGAGGCACCGCGAGGAAAAAAGAAGAAGTCGCGGAAGTCAAAGTCCAATGCTCCGCCTCCGGCGGCTCCGGCAACTGAACCAGCAGAAGAAAGTCTGCCTCCGGCGGTGCAACCGGCAACCGGCCCGCCTTCGATTTCAGAACCGGCAATCGGTTCATCGTCGCAACCACCACCACCATCGGTAAACCCTAATTTGTTGTATAATTAGGTCTAACTAGTCCGACTGGTATGAGTAGTTCAACTAGTTCAACTAGTATAATTGGATTGAATGAAATGTCGAGTCTGAGTAGTAGGAGTAGGTCAACTAGTCGTACTAGATTGTAGTCATACTAATCGTACTAGTCGTACTAGTTTGACAGTAGTTAGCCTAGTAATCGTACTAGTCGTACTAGTTTGACAGTAGTTGACCTGGTAATCGTACTAGTCGTACTAAATCGGTTTTCTTATTTTTGCAGCATGACGATGATGATGTGGAAGAACCAATGCGGCCTCTCGGATATTTCTTCAATCCCATCGAATACCAAAAGGGATGTAAGCTAAGTACCAAATGCTTGCAACACAAATTTAAGGAGGAAGTATTTCCAACTTTGGAAGAGGATGAGAAGAGTTGGTTTCTGAACCACCCGCAGTTCAAGCACCTGTTTCACATGAAGACTTATGCAACAAGAAAGGTGATGGGGCTGTGGATGTTGCTTCTACGCACGGTACAAACGGAGAAAGGTAGACAGGCTTGGTTTGTGGTAAATGGAGTGCCCATTAGATACTCCATCAGAGAGCATGCTCTCCTCTCGGGACTGTACTGCCACGAGTATCCAGCGAATTACCCGAAGTTAGGTGGCGAGAGGTTTGCTAGGAACCATTTTAAAGACGAAAAAATTACTGCTGAAGTTGTGCTAAAAGCACTTCAAGGGATGAGGTATAGTGACACTAGGAATCGGCTAAGGATGGCTGTCCTGTACTTCTTGGCGACAGTGATAAGAGGGAGATCAAAGCATGGAGTAGCCATAGAGCCTTTTATTCTGTGGATGGTTGATAATCTCGAGCTGTGTGAGACATTCCCGTGGGGACGGTTTACTTTCGAGGACAACATCAAGGAGATTTTTCATATGACGAACCATTTCAAAGGATCGATCCCAGAGAAAGCGAGTTGGACGTTTCCTGGGTTCCTCAACCCTTTGGAAGTAAGTCGTATTTCCTACTGTTTTAATTAGTCTGAATAGTACAACTCGTCCGACTGTTTTAATTAAAAATATGCAGATTTTTCGTATTAATAGTACAACTACTCTAACTGGTCTAATTATATGTGCAGATTTTGGCGTTTGAATGTATTCCAACCCTGAAGACACAATTTCGGGTGAAAGCAACAAATGCAGATGATGATTGTCCAAGAATGTGCAAATGGGAGTTCACGCAGACTGGCACAACTGGATATTCGCTGGGTTCAATAAATGAGCATCTTGGAGATACAAAGGTATTTTACTTTTTGTTATTGGAGTCGTACTAGTTTGACAGTAGTTGGTCTAATATTCGTACTAGTCGTACTAGTTTGACAGTAGTTTGACAGTAGTTGGTCTAATATTCGTACTAGTCGTACTAGTTTGACAGTAGTTTGACAGTAGTTGGTCTAATATTCGTACTAGTCGTACTAGTTTGACAGTAGTTGGTCTAATATTCGTACTAGTCGTACTAGTTTAACAGTAGTTTGACGGTAGTTGGTCTAATATTCGTACTAGTCGTACTAATCGGTTTAATTTTTTTTCCGTTATACTTCAGGACATTACTAGTATTTTGACTGCTGAGAGTGAGGAAGTAGATCTCATAGAGAGGGCCATGGAAGAGACACAGTGGCAGGACTTTGAACCGAAGGATGATTCAGATGTAGCTGACCCTATTGTTGATGGGTGGAACAAGTTTATAGTCCCCCAACAAGGGAAGATACAGTGGGAGGATGTCTTCATGGCTGATGTTCAATCCCGAGTTGTCGAAAAAGAAAATGTCCAAGAAGAAGATGTCCAAAACGAAGGTGCGGCAATAGGTGAGCCAGCTGAAGAAGAACCTGCAGTTGTGATTGAGCCAATATCCCGAGCAATTGAAAAGGATGATGAAATTAATGGAAGAAGGGTTCAAGGAAATTAATGACAAGATTCAAGGTTTGGATACAAGGTTGGTAGCTGTGGAGAGCTTCGTGGAAGAGCAAAGAAATCCTCCAGATTTTCAGTATGGTGGAAATGATGATTTCGGTAAGAAACAATTTTTAAGAATTTTTTTTGTTTTGAATATTGAAGTTTATTTGACTCTTTTTTTTTATGTCACAGGGAAAACGGCTGAAGAGGAGATGACGGAGGCTGCTGCGGCTGTAGAGAGGGAGATGGCTGAGAGAGCCGCGGCTGAAGAGAAGGAGAAAGAGAAGGAGGCTGCAGAGAAGGAGGCTGCAGAGAAGGAGGCTGCGGAGAAGGAGGCTGCGGAGAAGGAGGCTGCTGCGGCTGTAGAGAGGGAGAAGGTTGAGGCTGCGGAGAAGGCTGAGGTTGAGGCTGCGGCAGCTTCGGAGATGATGGAGGCTGCGAAGACCGTGGAGACTGTGGCGGCTGAGGCTAGTGCAGCTGCGGAGATAGTGTTAGCGGCTGTGGATAAGGCTATGGAAAAGGCTCTAGCTGGTAAGTGCCGATATAATGAGTTTCATCGATTTTTGTTGATATAATGAGTTTCATCGATTTTTGTTTGTTTTTGTTAGGTGGAGATACAGTCCAAACTCCTAGGAAGGTGAAGATCAAGAAACGACCTAGTCTTCAAGCCCAAGCAGCAAAGAAATTAATTAAGAAGAGTAAGACTCCCAAGCGAAAAAAGAAGGTTACTCGTTCACGGTTGTTGAAGGATTGTTATTAAGTAACTTAGGCCTTTGAACTTCTGTTGTGTCATTATCTGCTATGTTAGAATTTATCTTTGTGTTTTTCAGGATTTGGACATAGATATTTTATGCAAGTCTTTTTTTATGTGTTGAATTAAAAGGTACGACTAGCAGAACTAGACCAACTAGAAAAACGTGTGGCAGCAAAAAAAAACGTGTGCATGCAAAAAAACATGTTTAAAATAAAGTTAAAAATGGATAAAATATGAAGTCACGTGCGCCCTCAAAAAAGGAAAAATGGATAAAATATCTTTGCAAGTTTGCGCCATCAAAAAAAAAAAAATTGAACCCAGTTTTTTTATAACATAGTTGTACCCAGTTTTGAGTTGTACCCTAAAGACATAAAGTTGTAAAATTTTGTAATCAGTAGTATCATACCTAAATTAAACATTTTTAGCTGTACTTGTAAAATTTTGTAAATAAACTAATATTCTAATGCTATAACTAGTATAAAATAACAAACTTTCATGGTTTTCATGTTTGTGTGGTTAAGATTTACAAAGTAACCTTAAAAGTATAAGGTAGATTGTGTAGAGAACACATTTTCATGGATCAAACATTTTCGTGGATCAAATTTATTTAACTATAAAATGTTCAAATATGTTTGCAGATGTTCTATGGCCTATTTTATATGGAAAAATGTTTACAAATACATTTACAACTTGTGTTATTGACATTATTGTAGAAAGCATAGTCGTACCAGTCTTCCCAGTTGGACTTTAGTACAACTAAAATGTAGTTGAACTAGTTGTACTTGAAACGAGTGGTACTAGTCGCACCAGTCGTACCAGACATATTAGACGCGGAATATAGAATTGTACTAGTGGTGCCTAGTCATACCTGATAGAAATAACATGGATACAAGTCTCGGTCATACAAAGTTGCACACATAGTTCAAATAATTTGAAACAAAGACATAAATTACTCTTCACTTCCATCAATCCCAAACCATTGAGCCCAGCGTCCACCTCTCCCTCTTCCTCTACCTCTTCTTCCTCTTCCTCTTCCACGATGTTCTCCAGCTGATGGGAATCTTTTCTGTTGCGGTTTTCCTTTCTTTACTTCATATTCCGGAGGTAAGACTTCTTGTGCTTGTATCTCTTCAGGTACAACCCATTCAGACATATGAGGAACTGGATAGATTGTCCTGGAGTATGCCAATGCCCATAGCTCTACCAAATAATATTTGGAGCAAAAATCTTGTAGATGAAGTTCCCTATCTCTGCTCATATGGATGGCAGCAGCAATTGCATGCACACATGGGTATCTATCTATATCAAAATACTTGCAAGAACAAGTTTTCCTAGTCATATCAACCAAATAATTCTTCCCATCAAGACCAATCACATTGTATTCATGGAGATAGCTGTTTAACTCTTGCACCATGAGTTTCTTTGCATCTACACATCTCAGATCCATTTCGTTCTCCATGGAAGGCACAAGCTTCTGTGACAGTGGGACTTCAGCGGCACTCTGCCTATGGGTGTTCCACCATTCAGCCAATTTGGCAACAATTACATCAATCATTGGCAACAGCGAGTACTTTCTTGCGTTTACAAAAACACCATTGATAGATTCTACACTATTGGTGGTATCTATGTTGTACCTTTCTCCTGGAAAATAGCATTTTGCCCATTTTTTCTCATCAACACTTTTGTCTAGATACTCGGCAGCAGATGGATATTTCATCCTAAAAGCACTATAGAGTTTTACGAACTCAACCTCTGTATAAGCTTTAGCGCACTCGATGAACTTCTTCGCACATGCATCTCTGTGGGTGGCAACGTGTCCTTTCACATTCTGTGACAAATGCCTTACACAATACCCGTGTTGAGACAGAGGAAACACTTCCCTTATTGACTTGATCAAGCTTGGATTCCTATCCGAAATAAACACCATTCCAGGGACATCTGGTGTTACTGACTTCAACTGATTCAGAAACCACGTCCAACTTGCATCTTTCTCACCATCAACTACACCAAAAGCAATGGGATAATGATGATAATCAGGATCCTGAGCTGAAGCGACGATTAAAACTCCACCATATACGTTCTTCAGGTGGGTTCCATCTATAATGATGACTTTCCTCATCGATAGAAACCCTTCTATGCAAGCTCCCAATGCAAAGAATAGGTATTTAAACCTTTTCTGCTCATCTAATTCCACACAAGTCCGTGTACCCGGATTCACTTTCTCTAGCATGTACAAATAAGAATATAGCCACCGATAACTCTCCTCAGAACTTCCCCGCACCTCATTAGCAGCTTTGTTTTTTCCTCTCAGCGCTGTCGAGTATGATACTTTCACGCCAAGCCTGCCTTGAACCATATTGATCAGCGTTTTTGGATCTGGTGTGTCGAATCGACCTGGATAGTCTTCAGCCAAAACAGTTGCAACTAAGTGTGGTGTGCCTTTCCTTTTTTGTCTGATTGTACTTGTAGTAACCCGAGAGCATGTGTGCACCTTGTTGTAAGTGACAATAGTGAAACTATTTGAGTTCATACGCACAGAAGCTCTTAAACCCCACTTGCATCCCTCTTTTGCTCCCAAACATTTTACCACGAAACGTGTGGGATCAGACTTTTTCGTTTCATACTCAAAACCATTCTCATGTGCACCTTTCTGCAGGAGAGCTTGCAGTCCCTGCCTAGTGTCAAATTCTTGACCTTTATATATATCTAAACCATCTTCCCATCCATGACTTACTTGCGAGCTTCCATCAGAATGTCTGACTTCTGTATCATCATCATACACGAGCTGATATCTTTGTAGAGGATCTGTATCATTTTCTTGCATCTCATTGTCTGGCATTTCATTGTCTTGCATTTCACTGTCCGGTATTTCTAAACCATCTCTAGCGGTAGAAAACATCTCATCATTACTTGGACCTACATCAACGTCAACTCCATGATCCTCTCTTGAAACATGCATGCTTCCATGACTTTGATCAACATCCTTGATGAACTCCACATGTAGAACACTTCTACATTGATCCTTACTCATTTGTAGTAGATAACCAAAAACATTTTCGTCATTCCAAATATATGATGGTTTCTTCGTGTTCAAGACCATTGGATAGTAACTAATTTTCAGCTGAGATGTAGTTGCATCTATCAAAACCTTTCTGCAAATTCCCTCCACTAATCCAAGATAAGTGACATCCTCCAAAGATTTCCTCATCACTAAAGTGTGAATCTCATCTTCTACAGAATTCCAAATAACTTTATCACCATCTTTTGAATAGAACCCCCCATAATCAAAACATATGACTGTGCAACCACTGCTACTCATTTCCCCTGAAAAGAACAAAACAATCGTAAGGTAATCTTATCATAGTTGTACCAGTTGTACTAGTCGTACTTAAGATGTCCAGTTACGCTAGTTATACCAGTAGTACCCAGAAAGTTTGGTTCATCCTAGTCGTACTAATTCACTTAATATGTCCAGTTGTGCTAGTTGTACCCAGTAGTACCCAGAAATTTGGTTCATCATACGAATCATCACTAGTTTTTACGATTCATTGCTCAGTTAACCAAGATATCATATTTAATTAACAATATCAGTTTCTAATAGCCTTACCCAACTAGCTCAGCAGCTCCAATAAGCAAAAAAAAAAAATTAAAATTTTATTTACTATGAAATTCTCTAATTGAGAAGAAATTATGTATTATTTGCTCTGCCTATGACATAAACTTGATAATTCAATCAAGAAATCAAAAATAGTATAAGAAACAGCAACAACTAACCTTCACACCTCTGATTTTGTCAATGGTGGAAACATGAGAGGAAGAAGACGACGATGAAAGGTGCAAAAATTTTGGTGGTTGGTTTGGTTGGTTTAGACAATTAATTTTAGGTTAGTTTGAATTAAATTTCTTACCAAACCAACCACTCGAATTTCCTTTATTTTTTGTCATTTTTTCCGATTTTTTTTTGTTTATTCATTAAGGACAAGATAGTCAATTCAATGAAGAGAGGGGCAGTGAGATTAGAGGGGGGCAGTGAGATTTTGGGGGGTGTACGGGAGGGCATTTCAGATTAATGTCCCAATCTCCACGGAGTTTCAGTAGAACTATTGCGTCACCCGTCAACGAGGCCAAGATCAAAGAAGTTTCAGATAAAATATTTGATTTTGCATTTTTAGATTGGAAACATTTACACTCACACAATTTTTTTCTAAAGTTCGACAATTATCTTGAGGCTCTTTGTGCTTTTGAATTTGAGACTG